TAGAATTGAAATTAAATTTTTTTATAAGGTTATAAATAATTTGTAGCATGGTACATTTTGTTTTAAATGTTTATATGCCATTATTTCATTAATTGTGGTTAAAAATTATATGTAACAATTATTTGGTTAAATCTTACCTTGAGATGAAACCAATAATGTACGTTTTATCTTAAAAATTCACAACACAAGCACAAATTTAATAATTACTGATTTAAATTTTTATCTAAGAAATTCTGAATGACATTTCTTTGTGATTTTTGTGAATAATAGTTCCTTCTTTACAAACGAGGTGGGCTTCCTTCCGCCATGTTTCCCATGTTTAAAAATCGATCATAAGAAATATCGATAATCGAGAATCGTAGGATGTGTGTTGCGTTTTCACCGAGCGCTGTAATCGCGCGTTTCCCTTAATTAAATACACAAAATTTTCCTTAATTAAATATACAAAATTCATAAAAAATTGTTAAATAAAGAACGGAAATATTCATAAATCACATAAAAAATTGTCCGTACTTTAAACTGTTATAATTTCCTGAAAAAAAATTGTAGAACAATTAACTTGATTTTATTTTAAAAAGTGAGGTCTCCACTTTAACAATCCTGATTATTTCGTTCAGAGATATTTATTTTTACATCATGCAACAAATATAAAAGTAAGAATACTTCTTTCCTCGAAAATTGTAAATTGTAAAAATTCTCACCGAAAAGAATTTTTTCGGAATTTCTGTCGGAAAGAAGCGGAGTACATCTGTCTCAGTGCTTAATTTGATCGCGAGGTGGTAGCACCGAGTACGTTTTTCTACGTGAAAGATATCGAAATACCATGAATGTTCGTATATTTAAATCTCATAGTGCTCCAAACGAAGGACTAGTAATAAAAGGAACGCGATAGGTTCGCGAAGATAATACAATGCACCAAATGGATAAGAGGCGTTCCTCCCTCTGATGCAAAACAGTTGATATTGACAGCTCGATCCGGGATAACCTCTTGCTCCAATCGACAGCTAGAGGCAAAGCTCGTCACGTCTTAACTCGACGATTACCGAAACATTTCGCGACGATGGCGTGTCTTTTGTTGAATCAGGAGAACGTGCACATTAAAATACCATCAGCTGACACTATTGACGGTATCACTTATTACTGCATCGAGGTTAGGATTGCTTCGATCAAATGGACCGTAAAGCACAGGTGAGCGTTTCCGTTTCACCCATTTTGCAGTTTCTTTAAATCTTCATTATGTACCTAATCTTATTGTTAATATTGTACCTTATCTAAGAAGTAATTTGGTTATTGTATATGAAATTAATTGGGCATCTCAATATAAATAATTATGCAAATTTCAAAGAGCATATGAATAATAAGCTATTGAATATCGTCAAAAATTTATCGCATAAAACAGATAAATATATCTAAAGTGTAAATAACCTAACTTGTTTTTAGATAAGTTTCTGATGATTATTGTATTATATACTTGCACACATATCCATCACATTCATCATTATCGTATATTGAATAATTTCAAGATTATACCATAAATAACTTAATATATGAAATTAAATTTTTATTTCTTGTATTTTTACAGATACAATGACTTTGCTGAACTTCATGATAAACTTGTCTCAGAGAATTATGTTAAGAAGGATATATTGCCACCAAAGAAACTTATTGGAAATAAGTGTGAAGCTTTTGTAGAAAAACGTAGACTGAGCTTAGAGATCTATCTGAATGAAGTGTACAATTATTTGAAGAAAGCAATGCCTAGAGAATTGGCTGTATTTCTGCATATGCATATATATGACATATTTTTTCTGTTGCAGAGTATGGCTTTAGAATTTTTTACAGAAGGCAACAATTTGCTACAAAAGTCTAAGACTTATAAGTTTAATCTAATACAGGTGATTGTTTTAAACAAATAAATTGCATGCTATTTGTCATTTGAATAAAAAGATATAAGAATAAATCATTTTCTTTCAGCTATATGCAATTAGCGAGAGATTAAAACAACCATGTCCGCCGATCGAAGTTGTTGACAGAAAATATGATTTCAGTCATGTTTTGGACTTTAATTCTCATCTGACTGGTCTCATCATTGAAGGAAGCTCAGAGCCTTATAGAACCAGCAATATTTATTCCTCGGCGTTATCCATCGAACTATCAAGTTTCAAGAATATAGAAGAACTAAGTATTAATCAGTATCCAGTGGATAAAATATACAATATGGGCAACCTTCGTGACACAGTAAAGTATTTAAAAGTAAACAACACGAAGCTCAGAAATATCGTCGAATTGGCGATGTGCGAGGAAGTGCACAAAAATATCGAAAACGCGAATGATTCTCATGTCTGGTTGAAGGTCACTCATTTGGATCTCAGCGATAACAGGATAGAAGTGATTGACGAAGCGATTAAATTATTACCTCAAATTGAATGCTTGACCTTAAACAATAATCTGCTCTCTGAAATTTCGAATGTCACCCTATTGCCCAGATTATCTCAGTTGTACCTGGCGTCGAACAATTTCTCAACTTTACCGGATGATCTGCACACGAAACTTGGTTATATAGTGTACATTGACCTCTCCCAGAATAAATTAACATCGTTATCGAGTTTCTCGAAATTATATTCATTAGAAGGCCTAGACGTGAGTTGCAATCGCATCGAGAAGATCGAGGAGGTGAAGAACATTGGGCACCTACCTTGTTTGGAGAATTTAAGACTAACTGGAAATCCAGTATCGACAATTGTCGACTACAGGGTGAAAGTATTGGAGCCGTTTGGGAAAAGGGCGGCGGACATTTGTTTAGACAATGAAAAGCCAAATCAGAAAGAGCTGGACACTGTTTCAGTTCACCAAGCATTGCGCATTGCAAGAGAAGGAAAATCACCCACATTCACTGCTTCTGATGCGCCTTTGTTCTCTGCGGAGATTCCAAATATATAGGGTCGGGTAAATTATGATATTATTTTAAACGATGAATGTCCATAAAAAAAAACACTTTGATATGGATTTGTCATTGATCCGAATTTTTTTCTAGAATATGAAAGAATCTTTTTATACGTTTAAATTTTAATGAAACGTAAACTACCAAGAATACTATACATTTGTCCCACGTTCCTGAAGTAATTACATTAAAATAGAATTTAATTGATTTGGGCGAAAAGATTTGTAAATGAAATTAAACTCTTGTTAAAAACGGCGAACATTCAAGATTCGTTCGTGTCTCGTCTATAGTCCTTTTATACAATATTTATTGTCAGTCTACTGTGTCGGTGCTTTTTATTACCTTTTAATATGTAACCTGATCAGTATAATATATACCAAAATAATAACCTATACCTTAAGCCTTAGATCGTGAGTCTTAGATGTCTTTGTTTAGTCTAAATATTAAAGAAATTTGAATAATAGTTAAGGAAATAATCAGTCTCTGTTCGAGGATAACGTGCCACTTGTCTATGTAAAAATGAAATTTGTAAAATTCTGCTGTGTACATAATTATTTTTAAATTGTATATTACGTATTATCGTCATATATGTATTTTTTATACCAACTCCGAATGCGAAATAGAAGAATCGAATAAACGATATGTATTTATTTATAATTTATTGCATCGGGAAATTTGGTTTATATTATACAAATAATTTACGTAGCACTTCTCAAACTTTATTTATACTTCGCGCAATGAATGTAAGTAATTTGCAATTCAGAAATAAGAAAAATTTGCATTCAAAATCGCTGCTTTTACTAATAGTTATCTAGAATGATATTTAATTATTGTTATGCACTTGCAGACATTATTTAAATTGCATTCGTATTGTACGGGTTATTTATGATGCAATTGAGAATACGCTTGAATCAATGCGACCACACGGGCCATCAGTGTTTGTTATTTGTTGTATAAATCTTTAAAGCAATATTATTTTGAATGGTGTAACCGCGTTTGGTGTAACAATTTTATAATGGTTCAACATAAACTACATATGTACATAAGAAGATCGAATATTTTGTTAATAAATAATTTGAAAGCAATAAACTGTGATAATTCGTTGATAAGATTTCTTTTTTTGTTAATTTTCAATTGTTGTTGATAATAATAAGTAATCAAAATTGTAATTAAATGACTATGTTGTTTCTATTCTGAGCGAACTAAAAGACAGACAAACTGGTTAATTTTCAAGTTCATTTTTATTTAAACTTTCACATTGTTCGCATTACCTTTTAAACATCATACGTATCTCGACAATAGTAAAATATTCATAAATAATAATAATAATCATTACAATGCTTAACATACTCTAAGCATCCTCGTGTTATAGTCTTTTAATGTAGTACATCTAAAAATTAACACATACGTTAAGTTACCGTTTTACAGATGATCACTTGCTGACTTTTGCGTTATGTTGAGTTTCTTTTTCCTGACAAACCTCGGAGTTTTTGCACAAGCCACGCAATGATTTTTCCTATGTTATTCGTGCCTTCCACGAAACACAATCTATCAAACACTTGCAATTCTTTATTTGCGTTTTTTTTTTTTTTTTTTTTTTTTAAGGCAATGCGTGTTTCCAAGAAGAAAATGTTACTTCTAAAAAGGAAATGTCATATCAAAGCATCGAAAAAAGCTGATCGGTACCAAAAAGGAAGAATAATAATTTATCAAATATCTTTGATTTCTTATACGTTATACGACGTCCATGCGCCGTTTACATCTTAACATTACAATCGCTATATATATATATATATATATATATATATATTTTTTATATATAATATATGTATTCTTCTTTTCGTTGATCTTAATGAACTACGATCTTCGAATTGATTTTACAAATCGATTCTGCCGGTTGGTGTATCATCGGCAGAATCTGATAACAATCATAAAAACACGTGTGTGTGTGTGTGTGTGTGTGTGTGTATGTGTGTATGTATATCAAAGCGGCAAAAAGCTGATCGAAAAAAGACACTGCATATCAAACACTTAGACAGTAATTTTCTTTTTATATATATATATAGATATATATAAAATTAGGCGATTCGTTTGACAGACATCGAATGTGCTCGTCACGTTTCTGCAACCTTCGAATAAAGGATTCGTTTCATTAATCATTTGATTATCATTTCAAATAATAGCCCTTTCGAGTTACAGATTTGGTTTTGATCACATCGGACAATGGAAATTGAATTTTCGCTAAAAAGGAAATATGCGAAACATTTTACCAATTTCTGAAAAGGGACTGAATATTTTGATACTTTTTACTAGTCGATATTTTTGTTTCATTCTCTCGAAAGAGAATAGACTTTCACTTTTCTTGTACGACGTGGAGGCTCTCGAGTAAATTAGACAAATAACTACATTTCGAAATTACGTTTCGTAAGCACGTTTCGCTGTGAACCTTGCTTCCCTGCTAATTAATAATTCATCGTCGCAGCTCTTCACGTTGTTTTATCTTCAAATTTGAACTCCAAGTGTAGAATTTTTCCGTTTTCAATCGGAAACGTGAAGAAAGGAAAACACGGAACGAAAGAAATGAAAATGCATAAAATTTATTCGATCGTCAGGGGTAAAGGAAGCCTGGGCGGGGAAGAGAAACGAAAGTAACGAAAGATTCACAGCGAAAGATTCATCGAGGAGGACATTAAAAAAATAAAGCAAGGAAAGAGGATAGAAAGGAAAAAGATAAAATTAAGAAATGGACTTACGGGAATTGATGGAAGGAGCAGGAAGAGAGCGATCTGACGAATACACGAATGATGGTGGAGTTTTGAAGGGAGTTTTAAGGATCGGTTTCTCGTGTATCCATCCGGTCGATTGGGCATCTACTGGTGTGCGATCGGAATAAGCTTCTCGCCTGTGCCGATTGCCGGAAGCGGAGCCTCGACGGTGAGCACGCCATCCTTGCTAAGCGAAGACTTGATGCTCTCGGGGTTGGTTCCTTTGGGGAGCAGGAATTCGCGATTGTACTCCCTGTACACGGATTTGCTCTCTGTTTTCTCCTCATGTTTCGCGTGGACCTGGACAGATGAAAATCAGGCGGTTTAGAAATGAAGCTCATTGTTCTAAATGCATATTACAAATACGTGTGTAACGAATATGCATGTGTGCATAATGTGTATCTGTGTAGTTTTTGATACTGAGGGATACTGAAGTATACATGTATATGCAAGTGTATCAACACATTCAAATATACGTACGATTATTAATGTATGAGAAGATATATCGGAATATGTGCTAATTAAATAATCAGTATACGTGTATCATATATTTTGATACTCGGATTAAAACACGAATATACTACATACATGTATAATTGAGATCTCTAGTTTAGAATGATATTCTTCTCATTATTAGACTGCGAATTTTTATACATTTATGAGAATTTATGCATTGAGAAATGTAAAATATTTGAAGTATATTTATTATAATATACGTGATGTGCAACTTTCAAGTTACACAAGATTAACTCGCGTTTCCTTCACTATTGTCAAGAAAATTTCACAAAACAAAAGAAACGTTCTCCAAGATTTGAATTCAATTTTGAAAATACTTCGCAATTAAATTGACCGATATCGATTTCCCGGGAAATTCATCAATTTTCTTGCGCAGACAAACGAATAGAAGGCCAGGAATCCAGGTCGCCGGTTCGATTTAGTGTCCGTATTAATAAATCAGCTAGGACAGACCCATTTCTGTGATCACGCGAGCTGCATGCTAAAAGCGATCAACGTTGCTCCGCTCGTGGTCAACGGATGCGATAACACAGAACGCACGAGGGTGATTATAGCAACGTATTTTATTCAAATGTACACTGGCGAATTTCTTATCCGTTCAGGGTATAAAGGGTCTTTTGTGAGCATAAAGTTGCCTTTTACGTGATGATATGTACTACTGATAATTAACAGCGGTTGAAAAAACATTGGCAAACATTCTAGTAATAATTATATAGAATTTATCTTGTCTATTATGTTACCAAGAAAATACCCGTTCAATAACAGAGTATCTCTCGATAATGCTTAGTTTCTAAACTCTCCTTATTGCACGCATGTACTGAAGGTCCGTATTTTCTGGATCCTCAAATATACGGATTACGAGTATTTTAATTCGCAATATCTAGTATACGGATAGAAGTGCAATTAAAGTGCTGTGTTTTAATCTGTTTCAAAATCAGAATCATTTCGAGAAGAAATACAAGAAAAATATAGACTTAATCATATTGCTTGCTAAGTCACTAGAGTAGGATTGCAGATTTTTATGCAAATTTTTATTCTAAAGATAAACGAAGAGCACTTGATAAAGTAGAATCTTGATAGAAAATTATTTTACGTATTAAATAAATAAGCAATATACTTTGGATATTTTATGCACATATTTTTTCATATTACGTACAATTTCGCGTTTAAAAATATTAAAAAAACTGAATAAAAATCCGCAATCTAACAATTACACGTGTATTAAGAACACGAGTTTTTAACTCGCCGATATACTCCAATATATGTACGTCACAGGCAATATACGCGTACATCCTTTCGGTATACTCGTATGTACGTATGTCCAAAACCGTACAATCTATCACACGTACCAATCACAAATTTTCAACTTTACCCCCTCTGTTGTATAATTCAAAAATATCGAATCCATAAACATAATTCACGAAATAACTTATATGCAAACAATTGCTCGTTGAATAATTCAACGAGCCCTACATCTGTAGCGCGCGTATGTGTTCTATCCCCGGAAGTGGAAAAGGCGAGCTTCCCTCTCGAGGGGAGTAAGGGGTGAAAGATAGAGCTTCTCGTAATACGGACGTTCCGGGAATGTAGGTTATGGGAGGGGACGGCGATAAAGCGGGGATACGGATGTTTTATGAGTCTCATTGGCCGGAACAACAGCTATCGGTCGAGCTCGCGATAAAACGAAGATGGCAATGGGTTACGAGGGGTGGGAAAAGGAAAGAATCGAGGGTGAAATAATAAGCGGTGGAAAATGGCGGCTAAAGGACGCCACGAATTCGACCTCCATGTCTAGACGCGTCTCCAAATCGATACTTATAGTAGAAGGCACAACTGTACCACCAACGACGAAAAATATAACTTTTATAAAAAAAGAAAAAAATTGGTTGCATCTCAGAGCGCGACGCTTTTACTTAATGATAAAAATTCAAGAACATTTCGTCGACTAACGCTAATCTTCAAAGTTCAATAAAGCGGTGAAAATAAATCGTACGTAAATTATAAGAAGTCGTTGTAAAAAGAAAATTTCAATGTTTTCGGAGATGTTTGAATTTTTACGATTGACGAGAGTATTTTTACTTTCCTATCTTCCACGTAACGTGAAAACATCTTTGAATAAAAAAAAAAAAAAAAACTCAAGATTGTCGAAGTAGGGACTTTACACTTTGAAATGAAACCATAAATGAATCATTCTACGACCTTTTTACGAAGTTATAACAATTTTCCATCATTTAATGGTGGAGTTATATATCTTCAGATATATCTTCTTATTGTTAGTTTTCTTTCGCGATACTTTATCATTCGCGGATAATTTGCTAGAGCGTTCTAAAAAATTTGATTAATCGACCGTGCTCTACTTACGTATTTAAAATTTTATAATACTTCACTTATTTCGAATCCGTAAGATTAAGCTATCGAAAACAAGATTTCAAGTGCAAAGATCAGTTACACCTTTTTATCACGGACGAATGATTATTTTTTTATCTGTAGATACAAATAACGCAAATTTCGCTCGAATGTACGATTCTATATTTAATTTTGTAAGGGCACAGAAGATTAGCTCTTACAAACGTAGCGATCGATCCACGGACAAAAGGTTTACGCGAGCAAATAAAAATTTATTTGTCAAGCTGGATGTTTCTAGGTCACCAACAACTTAGAACTATCTTCGAACAAAGTTTCAGATTACTGTAAAACATATTTTATTAATGCATGTGTTATATTAAAAACTCAGCAATGACTTATATGAAAATTTTTAAACAAGAATTTCTCACTAACATCTTGTCATTCTTTTTCTTAGATAATCAAAAGACTGGGAAACACTGAAGATTTCGTTACCTCTAAGAAGCAAGCTGTGCCACCTGTTACGATAATTCAAAAGCACTTTTGCCAAGTGCATATTCGTGTTTGCAGTGGCCTCACTGTGATTGCCAACGTTTCACCATCGTTTTGGCAATCGAACCAACCACCACCCAACGACATTCGATATCCACGTGTATGATTTTCGAATAATTTTCGTCGATATCGAACTATCATTTATTACCTCTTTAGTACGAGGATGATATATTGTTCGATGGTGCATGGATGAAAATGTATGGATTAATTTAAGGTATTCAAGCTCGAGAAAATGATTGGGAATCTAGTGGCAGTGCCAAGGACAATTCAAATGTATAACAAAGGCAAGAAGAGATTCATTTTTTATTGAAGAAATGGTGGCATTTAATTTTGTATTTTATAGTCTTCGTGATTAAGATTAATGATAAATTTAAGTTCAATTAAAAATTCCAAAACTAATTTATTATAATCAATAATAAATCAATAAAAAATTAATTAATTTATTATTAATTAATATATTAATTAAGAGTTAAAAAATCTACATAAACGTCTTCGAAACGATAAACTGCTTCCAGTTGCGAAAGTTATCGATCGACTTTCCACACAATCACCATTTTTTTTTTTTTTTTTTTTTTTTTGGTTAAGTTCTCTCTAATTACACGTTATTTGCATATTATCGAACATATCGTTCGTCTTTCGGCGTACACGCTACGCCAAGTCTTCGAAACACGACAGGATCGCGTGATTCGTCGTCACCGGCTTCGTTGTTATTCGTTCTGTTTCGTGAAACAATTTTCAGATATCATCGATTGACTCAGCTGGAATATAAACAAGTTTCTCACGAAAATATTTTGAAATTTCATTAACATTGTACCGACTATTATGATTATACTGGACAAGATTGAAACAAATCAAAAATATATAATATTAATACATAAATTATAAGATATTCAATACATGTAAATACATGTGTATTAAATCCGTTATGTTATATCAATAGTTCCACAATAGATTATATCAATAAGTCTTTGGAACCACTATATTATTTATTACATGTTTAAAGTCATTTTAAGCATTCGTAGTACAAATACATTTTCAAACATTGGCTTTAAATTATATAATCATAATTTATTCATCACACCACTTATTCACACATGTCACTCGTGTTAATGGAATATTTCATTCACACACACACCACATAAACAGGTGAGTTACTTAAGACTGGAAGCTAAAATATTATTGCAACTATTACTAATCTCTAGTCTACTACAGGTAATTCCTTTATATCCAATTAAATCAATATTAGTGGTGTGCTAGCTACAAACGATAAAATAAAATAAAATAAAATAAAATAATGCAAGACGGATCATACTCGAAGTAAAATCTTCACATATAGGTACTAATTTTTAGATTAGAATAATACAGAATAATTGTAATTTTTTTTTTCTTTTAAATAAAACTACGTATTTTTTACTACATGAACTGATTCTTAATCGATTAGATGATTCATTTGTTGTGCATATTATACAAGTTCCCTATGATAAATGTTCAAATGCTTTCGTGAACCACTGTACATACAAGTTACATTCTAAGCATGTTACGAGGAGAAATAAAACCGTATCTCGATGCAAAAGAGGAAAATAGTTATAACATTCGAGCAATGAATGAAACAGGCGAGATATCGGTTCTTGAGAAAAACTCACGTGCGTTCTTGGCGTTTTTCTCGCCTTTATATGAAAGTGCAGAATTGTGTCAAAGGTCTCAAGCAAGATTATCGAACGATTCGTTGAATGCAACGGTGACGTCATACTTCGGAGTTTCTCACAATAAACATTTCAGTAAGAATTTAGATTTAGACTTTAGTATAATTTTATTAATTTTGATTGCCACGATGTTGTGAATAGTGTATACGAAAGAATTTACTCACACAAATAATTTACAAGGTGACT